GGCTGCTGCGAGGTGCCTGGGCCCCTGCAGCTGCTTCATGTAATTGCTGTCGGCGTCTCATGAAGACTAAACCTGCTCCAGCAGAAGCTGCGCGGGTGTGGCCTGATGGCTTCCCTCAGAGCCTGTGTCGCGGGACAGGGAATAACGGGTCTCGTTCTTGGGAAACGAGTGTCTGCCTGCGGCTCCTGCGCCCTGGCAGCCCCTTTCCCTCTGGCCTGAGCCCAGGCGCCCGCGGCCACCCCTACCGGGGATTGAATCCACAACCCAGGCCTGTGTCCTTCAAGGAATTGAACCTGGGACCCTTCAGTCCGCAGGCTAACGCTCTATCCACTGAGCCAAACCGGTTAGGGCTTGCTTCCTTTTTTTAATATGTTTGTATTATTGTTATTTTTAGAGCGCTAGGAGAGCGGGGGAGAGAGGGGCAGAAGCATCTGTGAAAGAGAATCATGGATCGGCTGCCTCCTGCACACACCCTACTGGGGATGGAGCCCGCAGCCCAGGCGTGTGCCCTGACGGGGAATCGAGCTGGTGACCTGGTTCCTGGTTGCCGCTCACCCCAAGCCACGCTGCAGGGCACCCTGCTGCTTCCTTTAGGGCCCACAGACCCCGGCTGCTCATGCCTTGCTCTCCCCTCACCCACGTGCCTCCATCAGCAGGTGCTGTGGTCTCTTCCTCCGGTGTCGGCCCATGTCTCCATTCTGTCCACCCCTGCCCAGCCCGTCACCCTCGCCTCCTGCCTGGACCACATCACGGCTTCCTAGCCCCGGTCCAGTCCTGCTCCTCCCTTCCTGCCCTTCCTCCCCGGCCGCTCCTCACGGGGCAGCCAGAGGAAGCTCTCCGCACAAGTCAGATGGCAGCCCCTGTGCGCCGGGGCCAGCTTATCCCTCCTCACTCGCCAGGCCCGGCCCCGGCCCCCGTTGCCCGTTTCTGCAATGGCCGCCTTCTCTTCGCCTCTTTGCACGCGTCCCTCTGTCTGGAATGGGCTTCTGCCCGTCCCTCAGGCCTCACACCTGCCCGATGGGTCGCGTGCAGCAGTGCCCGCCATGCTCTGCCGCGTCCTGGGCTGGTCCCTCCGCTCAATGCCAGCTCCATGGGGGGGTTCCTGTTGCCTGGAGGGGTGCCAGCAAGCTCGTTATGGAGAGAATGAGCGTTATGGAGAGAATGAGCATGCGAACCCCCTTCCGGAGTCGTCTTTGTGGCAGGAATTGAGCCAGGGGTTGGGGAGACAACACGATTCATCAGGCTTCTGCCCTCACACCTCGCTGTTACTGGCAGGGACAGGCCCCAGTGCCGAGAGGCCAGCGGGAGGCCTGGCTGAGGCTGCCCTTGGGGAGGGGCGGGAGGGTCTAGGAAGGCTTCTCAGAGGAGGTGGCAGTGCACGGAGTCTCGAGAGCTGAGTTCCGAGACAGATGAGGGCTGTGGTAGAGCATCTGTGGGCGAGCGGGTCCTGCGGAGCCTGCGGGCGGCGGGCTGAGACCCTGCAGCGTCGGGTTGAGGTGGTGGGTTCCCGCTCCGTCACTCTGCTGATGACTGGCCGTGCTCCTCACTGTGGACGGATCGTGCTGGTCCCTGTGAGGCCCGGGGAGGTGGCAGGGAGTGGGCATGAGCCCTGGGCCTGGCGCCGCTGCCCGGAATGCAGCTGTGCTCAGGTTCTCAGCGAATAGCCAGTGGCTGTTCTCCAGGCAGCGTGTCTCCTCCCTGTTGGCGAGTTCACTGCTCGGACCAGAGCGTCCGTCTCTTATAAGGAAGCCAGCGTCGAGGAAGGGGTCCTGGGGGCCGGACCGGCAGCCCCTCCCGCAGTTCAGAGGCTCGGCAGCCACCCCGGCTCTGGCGTCTGGGGTCTCTGGCGGGTGGGGTGCCCCATGGGGAGCCCCTCACCCCAGCCTTCCCAGTGCAGGAGGTGAGCTCTGAGTGGGTCTGGCTTGTCTGGGCCAGGCAGGCACATGCCCAGTAGCTCTGATTTCTACTCAAGCAATCGATTTTCTGCTTCTTTCACAGGGTGAACCCCCATGAACTAGCTTTTAGTTTGTTCGTGTTACTGCTGTCTTTTCTCATAAGAGCTGCTCATTTTCTGTGATCTAGCTGGTTCCCCTTTCCTCTGGCCCAAGTGTGCTCTTTCTGTGACTTGAGGACCGGGGGTTGATCTGAACCCTAGAACTGTGGCCCATCGTGGTGCTCCCGTGGGGCCGCTGGCTCTCGAGAGTGCCCCCTCCTAGAGCCCCCAGTCACTTCCCGTGGGTCCGTGGAGCATCTGCAGGAGCTCATTCCCTGCTGGGAGCACGGCTTAGGTGGCCATGGGGTTGTGATCGGCGGTGCCTGTGCTGAGGGCGGGTCCTGGATCCTGTCCATCACTCTGGGGTCGCGGCTTCTGCGGTGAAGTTAGGCCTTTGCTCGTCAGGCGCAGTGCTGACTGGACGCCGTATTCTGTCTCCTTCCCGATCGCAGTACTTGGTCATGGATTACTACGTGGGTGGTGACCTCCTGACCCTGCTCAGTAAGTTTGAAGACAAGCTCCCGGAGGACATGGCGCGGTTCTACATCGGGGAGATGGTGCTGGCCATCGACTCCATCCACCAGCTCCACTACGTGCACAGGTAACCCCTCCCGGTCATGGAGGCCACAGCCCTTGAGGTGATCCCCCTTCGGGGTCCCTGAGGCCTTGACCCCGTCCAGGTATTCAGCCCGGTGCTGGCACCAGAGGTCCCGGTGTCACTGACGGGAGAGCTGATGTCAGGCAGCCACCTGTCCTCAGCTGACCTGGCCCCCCTCCCCTGCACCCCAGAGCTCCTGTGGGGTCCCCACCCCGTGTCTCCTCTCTCTCAGCTCCACTTCACTTTCATGCCGACCCCACAGGGCCCTTGGCCTCGAGCGCCCCGCAAACCCTCACAGAGGGACGCGGGGGTGGGAGAGGTGGAGGGCTGTAGGGGCTTGTTTGTGACGATGTGGCCGTTTGTCCGTCACGGAGGACAGCCAGCTCACTGCCCCCGCAGAGGCCGGCATATGGCGCCCCTTCTGGCTCTTAGTGCTGCTGGCGTGCTGTGCTCCTGTGCTCAACACCCTCCTTTGCTTTTATTTATTTACTTTGTATATTTTAATATGTTTTTATTGGTCTCAGAGAGGAAGGGAGAGGGAGAGAGAGAGAGAAACATCAATGATGAGAGAGAATCATGGATCGGCTGCCTCCTGCACGCCCCTACCTGGGATTGAGCCCACAGCCCAGGCATGTGCCCTGACCGAGAATCGAACCTGGGAGCCTTCGGTTCGCAGGCCAATGCTCTATCCCCTGAGCTGCACCAGCCAGGACTGCTTTTGTTTTTGTTAATCCTCACCTGAGGGTATTTTCCCCAGGGATTTGTAGAGAGACACATCAATTGGTTGCCTCCCGCACACGCCCTGACTGGGACCAGGGATCAAACCCTGACCCTTCAGTTTGAGGGCGGACACTAACCACTGGGCCCACTGGGCAGGCCCCTCCTTTGCTTTCAAAGTTTCTGTTCCCTTTCCATGCTCCGGGTCATAGAAGCTTATTCTGTCAGCGATGGCAGGTACACGGACAGCAGGTGCGAGCGCTGGTTAGAGAGGCAACTGGCTGCTCTGTACCCAGGCAGGTCACCCCGCGCTCCGACCTCTATAAGTACAGTTTGGGGGTCCTGGTGGTTTGTGAGCCTGCAGTGGGGGGCCACCTGACCCCTCCGTGTGCCACTCTGTCCCTCACCTGTTTCTGTTCTTCCTGTTCCTTCGCGGCCCCCACCGGTGGGCTGTGCCGGGACCTGATGTGCAGGGTGAGAGGTGTGCCTGCTGCCGCCTCGCCTGGCCAGTCCCCGCAGGAGAGACTCGCCCAGGCGGCCCCAGCTCGCCCGCCGCCGGGGGGCGTGGACCTTCCGAGTGCGTGTGGGGTGTCAGGTGTGTCTTTGTCTCACCAACAGGGACATCAAACCCGACAACGTCCTCCTGGACGCCAATGGGCACATCCGCCTGGCCGACTTCGGGTCGTGTCTGAAGATGAACGATGACGGGACGGTATGTGTCTGTTCCCGTCCTCCCGGGTAACGTGTGATTGACATGCCTCTCGGAGAAGGGAGGGGAGGGAGAGAGCGGTGCTGTCTGGATGGCGCGTGGATTTCCTTCCCCACCACACTGCACTCCATCAGTGTGGACATGCCCCGAGCGCCACCTGACCCCATCGGCCAGCTGTCCGTGGCGGCTCCTGAAGCCACAGGTGGGGCAGGGCCTGGCCCGGGGCAGAGCCAGCGCCTCCTCATTCCCACTAGCTGGCTCTGGGCTGCTGTCCTCTCTCTTCCGGACCGGCCTTCCTCGGACGTCAGGCCTCGCTCTCCCAGGGACTGTCCTGCCCTTTCTGGGGCCTTAGCCGCTGGGAGACTGAAGGGCAGGCTGTGATGGGCAGCCTGACCCCCCACAGCAGGTTAGAACTGCTGCTGCCTGGAGCCTGTTTCACCAGCGCCCGGGGCTCTGTACGTGGGCGCACCTGGTCCCGACCACAGTGAGCGGCAACAGAGCCCGTGGGGAGGGGTGCCCCCTTGGGCTGCGACGCCGTGGGGCTATGGAGGTTTGGGCATTGAGACTGGCGAGCAGGAGCCCCTGGGGCTTGCTCTGCATGTGGCAGGGGAGCACCCATTTGCTTGAATTTTGAAACTCATGTGTTTCTGAGTGAGAAACTTGACCCGGGCGACGTCCCAGGTTCCCTTGAGCACACCCTCTCCCCAGGTGCGGTCGTCTGTGGCCGTGGGCACACCGGACTATATCTCGCCGGAGATTCTGCAGGCCATGGAGGACGGCATGGGCAAGTACGGCCCCGAGTGCGACTGGTGGTCGCTGGGCGTCTGCATGTACGAAATGCTTTATGGGGAAACGCCCTTCTACGCGGAGTCGCTTGTGGAGACCTACGGAAAGATCATGAACCACGAGGTAAGTGTGCCCTTCCGCATCCCCTGTCCGTGCTGAGGCCCAGCGCAGCCGCGGGGGCGCTTGGTGTGGAAGCTGTGGGGTCGTTGGGGAGGGGGCGGGCGGGAGCGGGGAGATTCAGGAGAGGGTAGCGGTGGACTTGGCTCAGGCTGCAACACACCAGGTGCAGGCGGGGCTTCAAGGATGGTCTGCGTTCTCGGGGCGAGGATGGTGTTCATCAGGTCAGAATCCCTGCAGCACACGATGTGGCGCATGGTGGCCGTGCTGTGTCCCCGGGACGCCAGCGGGGAGGACCCAGGCGGCCTGACCGGGGTCTGGGTTCGCCACGCAGATCAGCACAGATCCAGTCCGTTTCCCAGAACCAGTTGTCAGTCACATCTCATCGGAGGAGTCTCTAGTCCCTTCTCCACCCCTTTGCTCCTCCCTGGATCCTTTTCCCTCTCCCAGCCGCTGCCTTCTCTCGGTTTCCTTCGTTTGCTTGTTTTTATTTTCTTTTCCAACTAATGTTTTTGTCATCTGTTACTTTTCTTTATATTTTTTAGTCAAATATTTCTTTCTAATGCCCATCTCACCCTCTGCGCTCTTATTCACCCACATGCTCACACACACACGTGATGACACATTCCCGAAACAGCTCCCGGGGGCTGGTCTGTAGGGAGCATGTGAACACTCATGTGGGGAATGGTCTTCTAATGATTCAAAGCAAGGGGTCCTTTTAACGAACACTTTTTTCAAAGTAGAAATACATTTTTCACTTGTAACTTAGGTTATACTCACTATAAAACCTTCAGACGATGCCATGCACACAGTAGGTGGTGACAGCCACCACCCGCTTCTCAGCGTGGGCTCAGAGCCGTGCGGGCTCTGTGTGCCTCCAGCTGTGTGGTCCTCACAGCAGCCCGGGGACTGGCTGTTGTCCCTTTTCACGGCCATGGTGGCTGGCATGCAGGGGTGGCCCGGTGCCCTCTGGCAGGCCTGCCACTGTCCCCCCACACGTGTGTGAACATTCACCGCTGTTCCAATTCCCAGGAGGGTGTTGGCACCATGCCCCGATAAAGCCGGCACGGCCATGCTCTCGCTCCCCTGAGCTCATTGTTGTTAGCGGCCGTCTGCGCTGAGTTTGTTGACTAGATGCGTGCTCTGCCGTGCCCCCGAGCGCCCTTATCATGCACCCACTTACCCCACCCAGGAGCGGTTCCAGTTCCCATCCCACGTCACAGATGTGTCTGAGGAGGCGAAGGACCTCATGCAGAGGCTGATCTGCAGCAGGGAGCGCCGGCTGGGCCAGAATGGGATTGAGGACTTCAAAAAGCACCCCTTCTTCCAAGGGCTGAACTGGGAAAACATACGGAACCTGGAAGCACCTTACATTCCCGACGTGAGCAGTCCTTCTGACACGTCCAACTTCGACGTGGACGACGATGTGCTGAGGAACATCGTGAGTGTGGGTCTGCCGGGCATGTGCAGCGTCTGCTTGCTCGGGGCGGGGCTCGCAGGTCCACGGGGGCGGGGCTCGCAGGTCCACAGGGGAGAGGGCTCCCAGGTCCACGGGGCGGGGCTCGCAGGTCCATAGGGGAGTGGGCTCGCAAGTCCACAGGAGAGGGCTCGCGGTCCACAGGTGGGCAGCTTGCAGGGCTTGTGTCCAGACAGAAGTTGTGCAGCTACGCTGGTTTTTGAAAGATTAGTCAGGAGTCTCAAGGACAGCGCCTTCTAGCTTGGGCCTTATTGTCCCTTTTTAAAATAATGGATTACAGTTGGAGTGGAAGCGAATTAAATAGCTGTTTGTCTTAGCATTCATCAGAAACTCTTACCCTGGTTTTTATGGCAGTTTGTACCTTTTCAAAGCAGGTAGCCTCCATTGTCATATTAGAGGTCCCCCGAGGCCCCCCACCTCTTCCAGCCTAAACCTGCAGCCTCTGGCTCCCCCCCTCCACCGCCCCTGACCCGGGCACGTGGCCATGGCGTCTGCTTCTCAGCAGCACTCGGCCACAGGCTGACTTCCAGGTCGGATCCTGCCCTGGGACCCTCCGGGGTCTGAGCTGGTCGACAGGCCGGGTTCTGCTCACACGCTGCAGTTGGTTTGGTCTCGTCAAGCCCAGCCTTTTACTCTCTGTCCGCACTGTGCCCGGTTTGGGGACAGTAGCAGTCCAACCAAGGAAAGGGCGAGTTGGGATGCTCCTCAGTTTACCAGTCAGTGCTGCCTCAGAGCACAGCTAGGAGACGGCGAGAGGCACCGGCCCTGCTGAGCTCGCACCACAGCTCCCGGATAAGTCGTCGCCACGGTTTTATTTTGAATAAAGAAACATTGTCAGGCTGAAGATAGTCTGCCTTTGGGTCAGACCTCCACTCTACCTCCGGCCGGATTCAGGCCAAGAACTGCAGCCTCTGCCCAAGTCCCTGGGTGGCCCTGTCCCCTCTGCTCAGGATCACGTTGAGCAAGATGCGATGCCGTGGCTTTAAAAAGTGGCAGTGACTGGCCTGGTCCGAGTTTGGCCTGTGCCTTTTCACCATCAAAAGGAGTGTGTTGACGCTCCTAACTGTGTGGTACATCAGACGAGCCAGGAGTGAGAAATGGCCCTGCCAGTGGCCAGCCGTGCAGGGGGCCCCAGCAGTCACCCTGGGCAGGCCGCAAGCTCCCCCCACTGCACCTGTGTGCTCCCCTTCCCAGTGAGCACACGCTCACTGTGCCAAGCGCGCCATCACTGTGCCATGCGCGCGCTCATGGCGCCATACGTGCTCTCGTGCAGGAGATGCTGCCTCCTGGCTCTCACACGGGTTTCTCTGGGCTGCACTTGCCGTTCATCGGTTTCACGTTCACCACGGAAAGGTACGTGTGGCTCTGCTGTCCCCAATGTGAGGCTCTGCTCTGTGCAGTGTGTGTGTCGGGGCGCCGGGTGCCCCCTTAGGGGAGGCGTGGGGGGGCTCTGTCCTTTAAAAATGCGCCCCTGGTCACTGCATGAGCTGGCACAGCAGGTCAGACTCTTCGGAAGAGTCTGGAAGGAGGTGACTTAGCATCTTCTTGGTGCCTGAGGCGGGGTGGCCCCAGGCCGCCAACTGCTGACCTGCCCTGGAGGCCACAGCACTGGTGCCATGCGGTCCAGCGGCGCCTCGGTGGCAGCCACACGCTCGGCCCAGAGCCGTCTTTCATTAGGACACTCTGGCCTTTCAGGGACCGCCCGGAGCCCAGCTTCCATTAGCGGGGCTGGAGCGCACTCCCTGCAGAGCGAGAGCCACGCCCACGTGGGCCTCCAGCCCTGCCCCAGTGCCACTGTGTGTGTTTCTGTGGGTGTCTGTCTCGAACGGGCCTCTCGAAAGTCGTCTCCCTCCCTCTGAAAAGGACACTGGGGCAAGCAGAGAGGGTTAGGGCCACGGCATCAGGTGCCGCTGCCACGGGGTCTGAAGGGAGCTCACGGCGCGGCTCCTGGTGGTTCCCAGGGGCTGGGGCCTGAGCTGACATGGGCGCTCAGGAGAGGCTGCTCACTGGTGCGGCGCTCGCAGTGCCTGAACAGCAGCTCAGCGCCAGAGCGGCTGCTGCCTCCGCTCTCACAGGTAGCCCAGGAGGGGGCATGTTGCTTTCTTGTCTGTCCAAGGTGCAGGGCTCGCCACCTGCCAGGTGCCCCAGCTCTTCAGGTGCCAGTCAAGCCCATGGCCTCAGGCTCGGAGGCTGTAGTTTGGCGGGTTGGACCCCGGGATGCACACTCCCCCAGGACACACACACTCCGGGGACACACACCCCCTACCCCATTCACACACCTCTGGGGTGCACACTTCCTCAGGACACACACACCCCCAGGACATACACCCCCTATCCCATGCACATTCCCCAGGACACATCCCCCTTCTGAACATACCCCCCACCCCATGCACACCCACCCCGGGGTGCACACTCCTCCAGAACACACACCCCCTTGGTACATACACCCCCCTGGGGTGCACACTCCCCCAGGACACACACCCCCGGGACGTGTACACACGCCCAGGACACACATGCCTCCGGGACACGCATGCCCCCGGGACGCACGGCATCCCGGACACACGGCGCCCCCAGGCCACTTTGAGAAACCCTGCTTGGCCCTTCTGTTGACATCCATGCCGGTGCCTGCTGCACTCAGTGTAGGACTCACCGTCACACTAATGGCAGGAGGTGGAAGGGAGCTCTGTGTGAGAGCACCTCCTGTCTTCGTCTGCGCCAGCTGCTGTCCAGTGGTGCTGTCTGCCTCTGGGATGGAAGGAACCCTCAGGTCGCACAGGGTTCGGGCCCCAGGGGCTGAAGGAACTGTCCCTAGTTGGTGGCAGAGACAGGAAGCCCTTGACGCAGTGGTTCTCAGCCTTCTGGCCCTTTAAATACAGTTCCTCATGTTGTAACCCAACCATAACATTATTTTCGTTGCTACTTCATAACTGTAATGTTGCTACTGTTATGAATTATCATGTAAATATCTGATACGCAGGATGGTCTTAGGCGACCCCTGTGAAAGGGTCGTTCGACCGCCAAAGGGGTCACGACCCACAGGTTGAGAACCCGTTGCCTTGATGGCTCGTGCTGCTCTGGCCGCGCCGCTGTCCTCCGGTGCCGCCCAGTGACACCTCTGCACAGCCCAGCTCTGCACTCGCCTTCCGTGTGAGCCATGGCTTAGAAATTGCGCTTCACTGATTTGCAGAGACGAGTCCCTGCCTGGCTCTGAGGGCGGGTCCTGGGGCCATTGTCACCCAGTTCCTGCGTCAGGAGGACTCTTGTCTGACTCTGGCTCCATGAACAGTAGAGCCTTTTCACAGGTGCCTGTGCTGCCTTCCCCCCAGGGAGCCTTTGAATGCTGATGAGGCCTCTGGAGCCCAGTGGTGAGGCCTGTGTCTTGTTGCAGCTGCTTTTCCGACCGAGGCTCTCTGAAGAGCATGATGCAGTCCAGCACCTTAACCAAGGACGAGGGCGTGCAGCGGGACCTGGAGAGCAGCCTGCAGGCCGAGGCCTATGAGCGGAGGATCCGGAGGCTGGAGCAAGAGAAACTGGAGCTGAGCAGGAAGCTGCAAGGTGAGGGCCGGCTCCTGTGGCTACAGGGGCTCACACCAGGGCCGCGCTCACACCTGTGTTCCCCCCCCGGCCCCCCCAGAGTCTACGCAGACCGTGCAGTCCCTCCACAGCTCGGCTCGGGGCCTGGGCGGTGTGGCCCGAGATAAAGAGGTGAAAAAGCTGACCGAGGAGATCGAGCGCCTGAAGAATAAAATAGCAGGTACGTGTTACACCGGGCCGAGTGGTCTCTGCAGAGGAAACTTCAGAGCCTTTCCTCGCGGTGCAGAAGCAGGGCGAGCCTCGGCGTTAGCAGCCGGTCAGAGCTCCACATTTTGTCAGTTTATTTAAAGCTCTTCCCCAGGTGCCGAGCGCTGATGCTTTCAGAGCTCCGGCGGTCAGTTCCTGCTGTTCACCCCGCACTCGGAGCCCGTGGCCTCCCTGCCCTGGCTCCTCGGCTCTGAGACCGCCGGGCCTCCCCACTGCAGCAAGCCTGCTCGCCAGTGTCCTGGTGCTGCATCTGCTGCCCTGGTTCCTGGGTTATCGGTTCCCTAAAGACTCGTCACTTCTAAGTCTTAACCCCTGACCTGACGGGTTGGCGCTGCCACTGACGCATCGCCAGGCAGCCCCAAGGTTGGCAGCTTCTCCCCGGTTCTGTCTGGAACCCGCGTCCCCACCCGCAAAGGCTCCGTGGAGCCTGCTCTCAGCAAAGGTGTTGGCCCCGGGGCTCCCCTGCCGGCTGCACAGGGCAGCGAGGAGGAGGCCGAGGGTGCACAGGTGGCTGCGGGGCTCTGTGTGCGTGGGGAAGCCCGGAGGCCTCTGCCCGAGAGCGGGCGGGTCACGCGTGTTCAGGCCGGAATCAGAGAGGAGCTTTCGCGGGGGAGGGAACACGGTTTGTTCTCTCCTTTGCTCAGACTCGAACAAGCTCGAGCGACACCTGGAGGACACAGTGGCGCTTCGCTCGGAGCAGGAAGGCCCCGCGCTCCGGCTGAAAGGCCTGGAGAAGCAGTACCGCGCCGCACGGCAGGAGAAGGAGGACTTCCACAAGGTAGTGGCGGCGCCGTGCGGAGGGGACCAGGCTCCGCGTGGCACAGCCTGGGGGACCGGGCTCTGCATGGCACAGCCTGGGGCAGCCCCCCGGACGATAGCCCTGCGGCTGCCCTGCTTCCAGGGGGATGCTTGGTCACCACCGTCTGCAGAGGAGGCCCTGTGACATTCGGGTGTTCCCCAAATGCCGCTATCAGTGTGACTTTCCAGGAGGACACGTCGCTGTGTTCACTCGGGGTTGAGTTTTCTAAAAAGGCTCATTTAGACCCTCAGGTCAGTGGGCCTGCACTTGGGGTCTGTTCTCTAAGATGTGGGGGTTTCAAACCCAGGCTGACGGTGGCTCACATGGTGTCACGGCACCTGCAGTGCGTGGTCTGGTGTGCGCTGGGGTGCCCTGCCGCTCCCCGTGTCAAAAAGCCGCTCTGAGCCCACGGGGCCTGGTGTGGGCGCTCCCTTCCCCGCGCAGGAGCTACCCCCAACCTGTTCGGGCCCCACTCCTTCCAGCCTCGGGCCAGCGGGTGCCCAGGGACCAGCTGCAGGGAGGTGAGGTCAGTGCAGCCAGAGAGACACGAGCCTCCCCCCTCAGCCTCCAGGAAAGGGCCAGCTGCCCGGCACTGTTCACAGTTCTTTACTTTGACCAGAGTCTTAAGCCTCCCCATGTGTAACGTGTCCTTTCCGGTTCTACTGTCTGAATGGTGGGCACTCTGGCACTTAACATTCACCAGAGTTCATGCCCCGTCCACCTCTGTGCTTGTGTGGGCGGCACAGAGGCGGCCGCCATGCAGGTGTGGGCGGTGTTGCCCGGGCCGAGAGGGTCTGTCGGGATGGGGCCTGAGCCCGAGCTCAGGTGCACCTCCAGGCTGCGCACAGCCGAGCTGGGGCAGAGGGACTGCCTGGCGGGCGAGCCTCGGACCGCGCTGTCCCTGAGCTCCTCGCCTTCACATCTCTGCGACAGCAGCGTCATTCTTTCTGTGCAGCAACTGGTCGAAGCGTCCGAGCGCTTGAAGTCACAGGCCAAAGAGCTGAAAGATGCCCACCAGCAGCGGAAGCTGGCCCTGCAGGAGTTCTCGGAGCTCAGCGAGCGCGTGGCCGAGCTGCGCGCTCAGAAGCAAAAGGTGTCCCGGCAGCTCCGCGACAAGGAGGAGGAGGTGGAGGCCGCCATGCAGAAGGTCGACTCCATGCGGCAGGAGGTCCGCAAATCCGAGAGGCTGAGGAAGGAGGTAGGAGCGTGGGCGCGGCTGCACGAGTGGGCTTTCGTGTGACCCTGACACACCTCTAGAAGCTGGCGCAGCGCAGCGACTGCAGAGTGGCTCGTGCACTCGGTGAAGCCCCGTGAGGGGATCTGGCAAGCGATGGCTCAGTGGTCTCAGCCCCCACGTCCATGTGTGACGTTAGTGAGTGACTCCTGTCGTGCTGGTTTTTAAAATCACCAGTGAAAGCTGATAGAGGGTATTCATGCCCACAAATGTGATGGAAACACACTGTGATGGGCTGCAGCGGGCCTTCCGGGAGCGTGCGCACCTGCGTCCATGCAGCAGCCAGGAGCGGGCGGGCTTGGCCTGCGCCCCATGCCCGAGGCCGCGGTCCACACGCTGGCAGGCCAGTGGGTCCTGGAGAGCTCGCCTTTGTGGCTGGTGGCTCTTAACGTTCACGTTAGACTTGAAAAGTGGCACTTTTCATTGTAGCAGTAAACCCATTACAAGTAGCACAAATAGTGTTTTTAAAGAAGTATTTTCCCCAAAAGTGTAGCGAGAAGAGTGGCATTTTTCACTTGTACTTTTCTTAGATAACTGGCTGAACAGAAAACACCTCTGTGCCCACTGCTCTGTGTTCTGTGTGGTATGCACTGTCTGGGAATGGGCGGAAGAACCGCGGCCTCGGGGTCCCCGCGTCCTGCGGTTGGTGGGGACGTGCTGTGAGCCCGGACGCTCCTCCTCCTCCTCAGGGCCCTTCGCCATCCACCTCAGAAGCCTCTTGGCTATGGTTAATGTTGGCCCGTTACAGACGTCCCTCACTCCCCAGTGCTCCCCTTCACCCAGTCCCCGCCTTCCCCACACTGTTGTCTGTGTCCGTGGGCTGTGCATGTGCATGTGTGTTCTTGGAGTCTGGCGCCTTAGACCACTCGGCCATCCTGACACATCGGTACATGTATGTTCTCTGGTTAGTTTCTTCCGGTTCCCGTCCCCCTCACCCCCATCCGAGATCTGTCGGTCTGTTTCATGCAGCCAGGCCTCTGGTCCTATTTTGTTCATCAGTTTATTTTGTTCATTAGATCCACATATGAGTGAGATCATGTGATACTTGTCTTTCTCTGACTGGCTTATTTCACTTAGTTAGCGTAATACTCTCCAGTTCCCTCCATGCTGTCTCAAAGGGTAAGAGGTCCTTCTTTTTACTGTTGCGTAGTGTTCCATGGTATAGAGGTACCACAGCTTTTTATCCACTGTCTACTGATGGGCACTTGGGCTGTTTCCAGTCCTCAGCTATTGTGCATTGCACTGCTGTGGACATGGGGTGCACCTATGCATTCTGATGTGTGTTTCGGGATCCCAGCAGTGGGATCACTGGGTCAAGTGGCAGGGCCGTCTGTAATTTTTGGAGGAAGCTCCACACTGTTTTGCACAGCGGCTGCCCCAGTCTGCACCCCCGCGTGCTGTTTTGCAGCCCCGATGCGTCTGTAGTTGTAGCCACTGTGATTCGGGGGGAGCCTGCGAGCACCGCCGCTCAGATGGATGGGGTGAGGGGGTGCTGGACCCGCGGACCCGCTGGGAGCAGGAGTGCTCCATTTAAGAAGCGAATGCCTGTCCTCCAATAGCAGAGAACTTGTTTCCACAAACCAGTGCCTTTCTCGATGTTCCCCGTCAAATTCCCCATTTATGTGAGCGTTTAACGTTGTTTTACTAACCAGCCACTCTAGTCAGTCCCTGAGGAGTGCTCCTCAGACTTGACCGAGTGATGAAACCTGGGACAGAGTGAAGTGAGAGCTTGCAGGATTCTGCGCCCTTAGAGACCATGCGGGCGGGGAGGGGTGGCGCCT